TAAATTATTTAAAATTTGATAAATGTGTTGAAATCATTGAATTTTCAAACAGATAAAGCAGAGCCGTTTCTCTTCCTTCTCTCCCCCCTGTTCAAAGTGAGGTTTCTGTGAAGCTGCTCAGTGATCCTGCGTTATTGTTGCAGGGAGATGCTGAAACTAGCGGGAGGAAGCCGAAGTGGTCAGCATCCTATGCAGCTGTGACAGTGGCATGGTTCTGAACCCTTGTGATGCAGCGTCAGGGCTGGGAGCAGTGGAGAGCTCAAAGTCTGCTGGAACTCTCCAGGATGAGTTTTCCTCACTGGTGAAACCCGGGACATCGCTGTGTTCCACCTCCCTCCTACCACCCCTTCCTCTTCCTCTGCAGGATAAACACTCACTGCTACACCAGCCAGTGACCAAGTAGGAACTTGAGCTCTGCTTATCCCAACAGACCTATTTATTTCAGCTAATTGCTGACAGTTTTTAAATGATTCCTGGCAGGGGTGAAGCTATAGAAATGATTGCTGGTGAGTGATGACCTGGATAAAATCCCCAAGGCATTGAGAAAATTAACTCTTGCATGGCTACTCTTCCATTTAGTGCTTTGCCCACAGAGAAAGGTGTGGGAGCAAATTCCAGATGAAGGAGTGTGAGTTTAACTGTGCAAATACAGAAACACAGCCTTTGCTAGCACCAGCATCTCTTCCACACGGGCTGATTTCTCAAAAATGGTTCACGAGAACAATATTTAACCCCAAGCCTCACTACCACGATCAGAGTCATAGAATCATAGAATGGCCTGGGTTGTAAAGGACCACGATGCTCATCTAGTTGTAACTCCCCTGCTATGTGCAGGTCACCAACCGACAGACCAGGCTGCCCAGAGCCACATCCATCCTAGCCTTGAATGCCTCCAGTGCTGGGGCATCCACAGCCTCCTTAGGCAACCTGTTCCAGTATGTCACCACCCTCTGTGTGAAAGAAATCATTCTTGGATGAGAATGGTCTTTGAAGAGCAATCACAATGGGTCAGAGAAGTGCACAGAAAGGACCAATAGTTAGAAGTTTATAATCACAATGTTATGCTTTGGTTTGAACTGTTTTTGTATTTAGTGTACCAAAATGCAAGAGCAAGGTGCAACATGGATTCTGTACATCTCAATGGGTCCAGATAGTGGCCCTTAATGGGAAATATCATAGTCTAACAGAAATTTTGGGGTAACTGGGTGACACTTTACAGCCTCCATAATACAGAAAATAGATTAGATTATTTCCTCTGCTTGAAAATTGATGGTTTGGAGGGAATGGGAAAATGCAGGTGCAGCAGAGGAGAACTACAGCAATAGCCATCTATTTAAATGTATATACTCACTTCCCTAGGCTAGTATTTTTTTCAAAAACCCTACCAGCAATATTTTCCACTATAGAGAAGCATTATTGTGAAATGGGAAGATGCTGAGGAAGCCATTTTTCCAGCATGCGCTGCATTCTTTTAATACAGATTTTTTATTTCCCGGAAATTGCTAACCAAAGTGAATCAAGTGGGCATGTGCCCAACCTTGCTAATAGCAAGAAGCTGTCATCGAGTGAAGGGCCTTTGCAATGCATGGAAGAAAATGATGTGTTAAGCGTTCGATTCTGTCATTGCAAGAAGCTTTATTTCAAATAGAGCAACTTCTGCACGTGCACAGAAATAAGGTTTTACGTTCAAAAGGTACAAATATTATTCACATTTCTGAACAATGCACCTTCATTCCTGTTCCTGCACTAAGCACTGAGCAGAAGCAGGCTCTTTTTTATTAGCCATCAATTACTGAATGTGTGCAAAACAACACATGTACTGTTGGGTGCTTGCAAAGTCCTCCTTCGTGCAACTGATTGTGCTGACTGCTCAGCCCCGTCCCTACAACCAAATGAGTGAAACAAGGCAGCAGCAGGGCAGAGTCAAGAAACAAGGCTGCACAAGTCTGGAGTCCTACAGTCTGCAATCTCCTTGAGAAAGGAGGAAATACTGCTCATTTTGAGTAAGGCACAAATTGTAACCGTGTTTATTTGATGCTGTACATGCCTTAAACAGGAATAGTGCATCGTCATGATTCAACATCTGAACCATCGTGTGTTCATGTATGATGAAAGCTATTTAATTGCCACCATGTCACCTCAGCTGAAGCAGCTTGTTTGCTGTGAGCATGCCAGCTGCTCATGCACTGTAACACACACGTAATTAAAAGTGGTTTAGCATGGTACCACTCTGCAATTCCACTGTTTGAAATAATTTTGCCCTAATACCTCACTGATGTGACAAACCTAGCCTGTCTGAGCATGCATCACTGCTTCCCATTCTGCAGCCTCTCTGAATCTCATAGCACATTTTTCTTCTTTTTATATCAGAGCCTGCTGCAAAAAAGCACTTGAGAAAGCAATGCTCTGCTATCTCATTTGGAGTGAGAGCCCCCAGAAGAGACATACATTGAGCATTACCAGTAGCACATGACTCGGTGCCCTGTAGCTCTCTTTGTAAAAGGAAGGAGAGAAAAGCCAAAGAGCCATAGCGCGGCTTTCAGTAAGCGCTGCAAAAGAAAAGTAGCCCAGGAGGACAAATGTGGTGTTCCTGTGCCCTTGCCAAAGGACAGGCACTGCTGAGTGCAGAAACAAGTGAAGTTAGAACCGCCTGTGTGCTGAACAGCTCTGATTCCATGTATTTCTCCTACAGATTTCTAGCTGCTCCTAGCTCAGTTACTAGCAGTGACACCGACTACAGGTGCCCACATCTTCACTTGGCGATGAGCATTTCGTGCAGGAGGCCATTTAGCATGCAGACACTGAGAAACGTTTTATCAGCTCTACCAGGGCCCTGTCTCTGCTGGAATTTGGAAGTGCAACAGTACAGCTTCTCTTAGAGCTCTGAGAGACCTCCGGTTGGGTTGGGGTGAAGGACAGGTGAGTGTGTGCCTCAGCTCCTGCTGCTCTGAACCCAGCCCTGGCTGCAGCTGGGAGCTCACCCAGGCCAGCTGCTACAGCTTCACCCAGCTGATTTTGAGCATGTGGACTGGCTTAGAAGTGGCTGAAGATCCATGCATAATCATGACACTGCTTCACTGAGAACTTTCCATCACCGTGACAGTTTCCCTTGGCATCATTACGACAGCTATCTGTGCTGGTGCAGATAAGCATCTGTCACTGCTTCCATTAGGATCTCCTATTTTCCCGAGTTCATAGCTCAGCCATAAAAAACATTGTGTGGTGGCAGAAACTTGACATACAAGGTCTCAGGCTGAGAGTGATCATTGGTGCCTTTTTTCTCCCTCTGTAATCTGAAGAAGAAAATAATTTGCTTATGTAAGCCACACCTAACCCCAAAGTATGGATCCAGACACAGATTTATTTAGCGATGGCTGCCTCGCAATACACAAGTAAGGTAAGGCCTATCTCAAGTTCTCCATTAGGGAAGATAGGAAAGATATGTGTTAAGCTGGGTTCAGGCTTCTGGTTGGTAGAAATCAGGAAAGGACCAGTGGTTTTGGAGTTCCAGGTAATTAGATGAAAAAAATTGAAGATCATAGAAAATAATGATTGAAGATGGTAAAGTACTAGGAGCTACGGGTACCTTTGGTATCATAGCAGGGGAACAGCAAGCCCAGCATTACTTCTAACATTTTCTCTTGTGAGGCAAGCAGCACTGTATTTCATCCCACAAAGTCAGCATTACCCATCAAGCAAAAAGGATGGTATTCACTCCCTGTTTTGGCTGCTTTAAGCAACCTTCCACCCCATAATTGGTGCTGTGGTTGCCTACTGATCAGTGAAAACTGCATCCCGGTGCTAGCAATACTAGGAATCTACCATACAGACCCTGGCCCTGCAGGAGCAGAGGTGTAATACCAGCAGCATTTTGCCAGGAGGAAGAGGAGGGAGTATTTCACTGGGCAATGGACCTGGTACAGCACTGCTCTTTCCCTCTTGATCTTCTTTACATTTTACTCATGCATGTGTTTACGTGCTGGTTAATGATGAATAGAGCCGCTGAAAATACTTTCTTTGTACTTATACTGGCATAAGCTTGAAGGGAACAAACAGAACTAACAGGCAAACGTTTTACAAAACTCGTGTTCAGGACTTCAAGGATATGTAAAGAAAGGTCGACGATCATTTCTAGCCTGCAGAAACACAGATTCTACTTCTGACCTCTTCAGAGCATGCTCTAGTTCTGTATTTTCAACAGGGCTCCACTCTCAGAGTGAAGAGGAAGGCTGTACTCACGCAGTATGCCTGTGCATTAAATTGGACATCTGGTACTTACTAAGACAAACCTTTTTGAAAGCTAACATCTTTCTGTTGATTCTGGATGTAGTAACATGCTTCCTGATTGCAAACTGTTTTGCATTAGACTTAACTTGGCCTGGTCACACTTCTGAAAAATGGTAAGATGTGTTGCTTAGCTCTTCTTGCAGGCTTGGCCTTGCCATACACAGGCAGTTTAGCACCTACCTCCAGCACACCAAAAAGCATGATTACTTTCAGAATTTGCTAGAAACTTGGGCAAGAACAAAAATACAAATGTAGAGTAAGCAATTTTGGTACAGACAGATAACAGAATTTTAAGCCTAAAGCATTTGTTCAGTTAAGTAAGGAGAATAACAAAGAAGAGTGGAAAAGTTCTGCTATTCTCTTTTCAGTCTGCCTTTTAGCGGAGGTACGGCTTTGCTGTTTCCAGTTTTCTTGCATCCTTGGGCACGTTTTTATCTAACATAACTGTGAGAAAAACATGCTTCCTTGCTTGATGCGTGACGGTCCTCGACCCATCCAGAGATTTATGCATTTTTTCTGCTGGATGGCTCCTAGTGAGTGTTTTGCATCTTCTGTAAGCTATTGAATAAAATCTTTGAGATTTCATGGGGCTGCAGAAGTTGCTCATTACTGTAGTCCACTGGAGTGATACAAAAGCGAATATTAATGGCTCCTGTAGTAGCTTGACATTTTCTTTTCACAGTTCATACAGTTCTTTTTCTGTTTTGGAACAGGTATTTTGTGATGGTAATCAAGTCGTACAAGCTACAGATGTGCTGGACTGGGAAGACAAGGATGCTGCAGAGACATTAGTGGACAACGTGGTCCACTCCAGGATCATCAACCCGCTACGTCTGTTTGTTAAGCCATCCCCAGTACTGAAACATGGCCAGGTGTCCTACTCAGACAGCATAGAAAACTTTTGGGATTGGTTGTCCAACATCACGGAGGTTCAGGAATCTCTCGCACGAACTAAACGCAGACCTATAGTAAAAACAGGGAAATTCAAGAAGATGTTTGGATGGGGCGACTTCCACTCTAACATCAAAACTGTTAAACTGAATCTCCTGATCACAGGGAAAATCGTCGATCACGGCAACGGCACCTTCAGTGTTTATTTCCGACATAACTCCACAGGTCTGGGAAACGTTTCTGTGAGCCTGGTGCCACCTTCCAAGGTGGTCGAATTCGAATCATCTCCACAGTCAACTTTGGAGACCAAGGAATCCAAGTCCTTCAATTGCCGCATCGAGTACGAAAAAACAGATCGCGCTAAAAAAACTGCCTTGTGCAACTTCGACCCCTCAAAGATCTGCTATCAAGAGCAGACCCAAAGCCATGTCTCCTGGTTGTGTTCTAAACCATTCAAAGTTATCTGCATTTATATTGCCTTTTACAGTGTAGATTACAAACTGGTGCAAAAGGTCTGTCCCGATTATAATTACCACAGTGAGACTCCGTACTTGTCCTCTGGCTGACACAGCCCTGACTAACTGTACAGATCCAGCACCAGTCATAAAAGTAAGCATCTCCATTAACCTTCTGGAGAGGAATATGTTTTTCCTATCAGGTTCAAAAGTCTTTAAGAACCGTAGCTGTGTTTGTGCTGTATCGTAACTAATCAAACTGTTTACGTAATGATCATTTTCATTTGAGACCATTGCATTTTAGTATTCTCATCGTTCATAAGGGAGCTACTAGGCAGACATGATTAAAAAAAAAAATCAAAGCAAATTATGTCCGTAATGAGCATCGATCTTGAAAATCAGTTTTTTAAAGTACACTCCAAGGCAGAGAGGTTATCTTTCACTTGAATTGGACAACACTTAGCAGGAAATGATTCTCTTTCTCACTGGGAACCTTAGGAGATGACAATATTAAGAGCAAGTTATAAAGATGACTCTCAGCTGCTTCCATAGAAAATCCAAACCAACAGCTCTCCCACTAATTTCATAAATTATCGAGTCCAAATATGAAAAGAAAGCATTACTTCTAAGGGAGAGGAGAAAGGAAGGAAAGGATTTCTATGAGCTGTGGTAGTTGTATGTATTCATCAAAGTGAAGAGTGAGTAGTACTTCCTTCAGACTTCTTGTCCATGAATATGCAATGATGTAATTAGATATTGATGAGCTTTAGTTTATTAGACCCACCAGGTGTGCAGGTTTGGTGTACATTTCCTCCTTCTATTGTCACCAGTGGTTCTGACCATCCCCAAGCATTCACACATGCACCAGTACTTGTTTCACAGTGACTGAGCATATGTACCCTGGAAAAAGATAATCTCTGTTTAGGTCTGCAAACGGTGCCAGCTTCCACGGGAGGGAAGTGACTGTCTCGCTTCTTAGGCCTCAGCACCGTGTTGTGGTAAGGAGAATCCATCAGCAGGAGGAGGAAATTTTCTGCTTAATGGCACCCGGTTGTCTTTCTTAGTACTCCATATTTAAGATCAATATATTAAGCAATGAAAAATAAAGAGGACAACACAGATCTATGCACCTTCACCACACAGAGCAGATTCCAAACAATTGCTGTTGGTGTAAAGTACTCACCTGGACCAACACACCCACATGGAACCACGTTGCTCTGTCACGATTGAGTGTGACAGCCCAGGGTCTGGCTGTGATTTGGTTCTGCAAGACAGTTAGCTCCAGCAGTGCAGCTTCAAGCACAAATTCCTTGCCATTTCTTTGGGTGTTGATTTACCACTGCTGTCAGTCTGCTGTCTCAGCCCCATATCACAGGTCCTGTAGAAAAAGCTAGCTGAGGGAGTGCTTCTATTGCCTGTAGTCAAACTAACATGCAGGGAGCAAGAAGTCGAACGTGGCTTAAATGAAGTACTGCTAAAATAATCAGTTCGAGTGCCCTGTACACCCCAACAGCTCAGAAGGACTCACTCATGAGATCAATTCCCATTTCATTGATAAAATCTCATAGAAAAAATTATTGTTTAAATATGAAAGTAACGATTAATTTGTTTCTTCTTCAGGTGACCAAACTAAACGTGTGGTTTTGTTTTGCCAAGAACCTAACTGCTTTGCTTTCCTTCTTCTCATACAGAGTCCCTCCTGTTCTAAATAATGTTTTTCAGTTTGTCTCTTACTGTTGATTCCTACAAGGTGTTCTACTTTGTATTCTGTATAGCGTGTCCTTGTTCCAGCTGTATATAAGCTCGGATTTATTGCTATGAGTTCAGTGTCTGGTGCTTTTGTAACTTAGCTGTAAGCCATGATTTTATTGCCATGTATTTTTACTCAGCACTGTAGGCAATTGAAAGAAAACCCTACATGCTATTTATTGTAGAGTATGTGGAAACCATGTATGTATATACACTTGAATATGTGTACATATACAGAATATATGTGTACATGTATTTGTATGTAAATAAAGAGAGTTTGCTAAATCTGTCACTCACTCGCAGCATATTTGGTTGTGTTTTTTCTCCCAGTTTGGTTTGGTGGCTTTATGGGGACAAAAATAAGTGACAAAACACTCCCACAACATATTGCTGAATATTTGTGCCAAGTGCCATTTGTTCTTCTGTGAGGTATTTAAGTCTGCAGTACAGTGGGCAAAATAAGTTCAGTAGCATTCATGAGGGCCAAGGAAAGAAGTGCATGCGTTGCTCAACACAGTCATGAACTGCTTCAGCAAATGCCCCCAAGCAGGCCACTGAAAGTAGAAGAGCTGTGCTAAACGAGAGGTGCTATGGAGCCTCAGGGTCTGCATTACAGCAGCCCAAACATCTTCCTGTGGAGGAGACTGCCTGCATGGAGCTCTGGCCCTCAGCAGCAGCATCTCACCACTTTTTGGGCGCCGTGCATGGTGTTCCAACCACCTCCTCCCCAAGCTTTGGCACAAGATGACAGTTGTGACAGCTATGCCAGAAAACTCACTGTGAACCACTGCATTTTTTCCAGTCAATGCATTAAAAATCAGGTTAAAAGCATCACGGTATACTTTTTCGAACCAATTTTGAGAAACTGACTGCAAGAAAAGACTTGTGATCTGATTGCAGTCAAAACCAGGGGAAAAAGAAACCGCTTCGACCTAGCAGGTTCAGCACAACGTGCACCAATGAACCTAACAGTATGGCTTTGCACGTATTTAAATACTGATTTGCATTGATATAAAGTCCTTGGTAAGTGTGCCTGTTCCTGTTCTCCCCATCACTTGGATATACATCGCTAAAGCTAGCAGCGGCAGGCAAATGATGATATGCACTGGAGTCAGGCAGCTCTTTTTCCTTCAGGCAGAACATCGTACATAAATGCAGGAACGGCAGCCATTTGGTGTTTTATTTTTAATCATTTCAATGGATGTGGAAACCCCTGAACGATTCTGATGTGGCTGGAAACGCTCTCACAGCAACGAGGCGAAGGCGTTGGGTGCAAATCAGCCTCCCGTGCTGCCCTTTCTCCCCCGTCAATCACGTGTAATTCAAGGACATTAGAATGTGCTGTTTGTTTTATGCTCTGTTGACCAGCGTAATCTGGATAATGTTTTATTTATAGCATAATAATGATTTGTCATTATCACTGTTCCTATTCAAATATGCACAGTAGAAACGACAGTAACAAGCCACAAACCAAGCAGCTCAATGAGACGCACAGCACTCAAATGCACTTCTAGCTGTAGGCTGTCTCATCTGAAAAAACAGATCCTGCCATTCCCATCTGTGCCTCATGAACACCTCAGACGTCCAGCAGAAGCAGTTTTAATACAGCTAAGAAAGCTAATAAAATGTTTCTAATGGATTGGCAACTGGTACTGAACTGTACTTTGAGAATGTAGTACTGTATTCGTCACTGACAAAAAAAAAAGCCCCTACAAATCGGTGTAATTCCTTCCCAGGTTACGAGGTAACTGGATGGCAAGAGCTGAACCCAGGTCCACCACCTGCTCAAGTCTGCACTTGGAAGTGACACGAAGTGGACATGATCTCCTGGACACACAGCAACACCTTCCTGCAGTGCTGCTGCCTCCAGCCCAGTGCCTTGGTAGGCTTCAGACAGAAGCAGGTCTGCAGCTGTGGGTACTCCAGCAGGAAACCTGGAAACTGAGACTGAATTTTGTAGGCAAAAATTCACAAAGAATGCTTTTCCTAAGATGCAGCTTAACACAAGCCCCCTGGATGCTGGGATGCAGAGGCAGTGTGGTGGATCATTAAGGCAGTCACAATGCCAGAGCCTCAGCTCGACATCAGGCCACACCATCAGGCCACATCTGACTTATAAAAGCCATATGGGGTCAGAGTGCCACACTCACCCCTTTCAGCTATCCAGAAGCTGCTTCTGAAACACTTGCTGTGTGCCATTGCTCTCACTTTGCCATCACTGGGAAGCAGCACAGTTCTATTACCACTGACCTCGGACCATCGCCTCACATCTCGGCTGTCATTCCCCATGCTCGCCCCATCCTGCTGTACACTTTAGCCACCTCAAATGCAAATCCGGCTTCTCTATTCTCCTGCCTCATTCCCAGACTGTATGTGGCTCTTTTGTCATTATGCAGCCAATTAAGTTTTGGCTACGTTATCTTAACAGCTCCAAATAAGCGGGCGATATTCCTGAAAGGTGATACATTATAATTGGGTCCAAATTGGCAAGGAAGGGAACAGTGAAATAGGAAGCAGTGAGGTTATTTGCATTAGCTCATAAGGTAAAAATGAAGAAGAAAGCAGAACCAAAGCTATCAGTTATCTCCTAGTATTTTAAGATTCGTATCATCTGCTACAGCCAATGCCACTTCCCAAGCTGTGAGACTTGGGATTTTTGGTGTGGGGATCCTACAGGTGACAGTGATGCTGCCAGATCCAGATGCACCAACTGCAATAACCACATAACAACTTGCGTTATTTTCTTGTAGTCCGCTCTTAAAACCATCAGTCCAAGTTTTCAAAACGTATCAGGCTGATTTTAGGTCGACTGTTTCAAAACTTGAGCTGATGTGTTCCAGCTTAGTGAGAACTGAGCAGTGAGCTGCCTTTGGTCTACATAAGTCAGTACAACTCTCTTCTTGCCCCATCGCTTGGGTGTTCCTGAAGCACACACCAAAACAGCAGGCGATGCTGAGCAGACTTACACTGCTGACCTCACATCTTGGTGAGGGATATTTAACACAGATTTCTGGGGAGAGAAACCAAGGGATTAAAAATATTTCAAGAAGCCACATTTAGGACGATAAGCGAACCTATTCAGTACCATACAGTACTTGAGAAGTGGATTGAAATTAAGTAGTTTTATGTCAGATATATTTAACTGCGGAGTTTCGGACATCCAACACTGAAGATTTGGATTAGCCCAAGAGCTCTGGGGACGCAAAGGAAACGATGCTCCCTGAGCTGGAGGTGATGCTGGCTGCCATCTCTGCTCCCTCTACCACCTCCTCCTTCCTGGCTTTCACACAGATGCAAACAGCAGACCGAGCACAACCTGACTGCTCACAGTAACAGCAGCACTGTAGCTGAATGGCACTCGGCAGCTCAGGCTCTCTGTTGAGATCTGAGTGGCAGCTGTCCTTTTATCTGGCCAAAGGAGAAAGGTATTTTGATACATTGCACCAACAGAGCCCCCTACTTAAAACTTACAACACCAGTATTGAGTGGTGTTGCCAGAAGCAGATTAATTGCAGCTTCCAGGGAAAACGGAGCTTATTTCACAGTGACTTTTATTCCCACTTGAATTAAGTTCCTTACGTTGCTCTGCCTCATTTGAATTTTTTGAATTGGTTTTGCATAGTATCATTTACTGATGTGCTATCTTTAATTACATAACACACATGCTCTCACCAACTGCATTATTAATGGAAGCGTTTTTAATTAAATGGCTCTCAGCATAATATTCAGTCATTAATTTCACACATCCGGGACATGGAGAGATTCTATTCTGATGGTCCAGAGAAGTTTGGTACTTTAGATGAGGAATACTTCCACAGTGATAGTTTTAGAGTGAAGTTGGAAATCATTACAAGCACTGAATCACCCTCCCAGCAGCTGGTGCCACCGTTCTGCTCTGCTGGGTGTTATCTATTCTTGGGCTGAACTGCTCCTTTTGCTCTCCAATGCTTCACTGCTGGTAATTTTCACATGCCTCTCACTGGGCTCATGTATATTCCACAGTGCATAATATCAGAGTTCCTTCTCAGGAACAATTTGGGACCGTTGCCACTAAGGCTGCTTCTTCTAGAAGGAAAAACCCCACACCCTCCTTTCTAATTGCACCCTGCCCATCTGCTTCAACTCCTATGCTTTTAGAGCATCCCTGCTCCCAGGTCTAGGCCTCTCCCCATCCTCCCCACCTCCAGTTGGAGGGAAGAG